CCTTAAATAGAACTAGAAATTGCAGAGTATTTAAACAGAAAGCGTGCAAGAAGCAGCAGTTTTCCCAAAGATTCCCCAAAATTTGCTCTATGAAAGTCCAGCTTAAGTGGTGTCCTCAAGGGAAATCTCCAGTCTAGAATCTGAAACTCTTTCCATTCCTTATCACCATCATCAGTCTTAAAAGTTTATTTTTAGGTACTTGGTCACACAGATGTTCTGCAACAGAAAAAGTTTCCATCTTTCCTGATTTCCTGCTGTTCTGAAGAGGAGATTAAGAGATGGAACAAAAACTGACAGACCTGTTAAAATGAAGCAGTGAGCTTTTAATGATTTTCCTTTTTATCTGACTGCTCAGATCATCTCATTTCAGTGGGGAATGAAGAAAATGTTCTTCAGCTTTTTACCATCCTTCTTGAGGACAGGCCTTTCCCAACCATATTCAATAGTACCATTCTTCAAACTTCTTACTTTCACATTAGTAGATAGGTATAAGTACCCAGCACCTCTAGTAAAAATTATTCTAGTAATATAAAACTGCCACGATATTACTTTCAATACAGATTATCACTTTCTAGTTCCAATGGAATGACAAGTTTATAAGGAAGTTAGTTAGGCCTTAACAATATTTCTCAAAAACTCTCCACATCAATCATAACCTCAAGGTCCAATCAGACCCAGACATCTGTCAGAGCCAGAGTCATTTAAGAAAACTGTGCAAGGACAAAAGAAAAGTTACTGCCTGGAAATCACCACAGCAATTGTGTCTGATATCAATATTGGCAAGTATGTATAAACCCTTGTCTTGGTTTGAAAGACAGTTGTCTATCAAGGAAGGCAGGGACCTCCCTTGGAATGGAGAATATGATCCCACTTCCCTCTGAATTATTATAACTTTGAAATCAYGGGSTTTTCAGGCAAAGATATGGGAAAAGGAATAGCAGTTCTTTGCTAGTATTAATAACCAGGCAAACGAACAACACCAGCAGCAACAACAACCAAAGGCCCAAACGCCCAAACTGTSCCACCCKCCCTGTGGCGCAGTTCCGCTCACAGCCGCCAGGGGCGCTGCTGGCTCCGGCCGGGCAGGGCGGGGGCGGTGATTCCTCCGCGCCGCCAGGGGGCGCTGTGCCGCGGGKCCCGCCCCGCCTCTCTCTCCACACACTAATGGCAGACATGGCTGCTGAAATGGATGGAGAAGGAACTTCCTTTACCAACTCACGTGGGAGCAGTCCTGGTGCCCCAACGGACAGCAACAGGAGCTGTAGCAGGAACCTCGGAGTAGCAAGTTGGACTTACCCCAGACTGTGTTAATAGACTGCAAGAGCCGAGACACAGAGATGTATATTGAAAGGGGGCAGTGTATGATAGAAGGGGAGGGTTTCATCAGGCGTTTCGGGGAGCCTGTACCTCTCAAGTACCTCATCCAATGGGGAAAGAGAGAGGGAACCGCGGCCGGGAAATTGGGATAAAAGGAGGCTGCGTCCTCTATGAATTTGAGAGACCCCATGGGAAATGCCCATGACCTCTCTCTTTATTCATGAATAAAGTTACGGGACTCCTCTGTCTCCTTTTTGGACATAAACTTCTGGTGTTTGTGGATTAATTTTTTTAACACTTCGAACCAATAAGCACATAAGGAACGAGGGATTCAAGTAATATTACCAGGATTTTTGTAGACCCTTCAAAACGTTCCCTACCAAAAGGCTTTTAGGGAACTGAAATTCTATGGAATGTCCCCTTATGCATTCAAATAATTAATTAAATGAGAGAAAGCAAAATGTAGGAATAAACAGTTCTCACCCGGAGAATGAAGGTGAGGTCATTCACAGAAACCTGCAGAAAGACATATCTGCAAATCCAAACCTTAAAGAACACATAAAAATAGCACAGTAACAAAGACTACTGATGAGACAAAGCTGTGTGGAGCAGGGAATTAAAAACTGACTGCAAAGATATTATGCAGAATGCATTCTATCAGGAGAAAGTGGCCAAGTGACAGAGGTCATTCAATTCTAGGTAATGCGTTGCAGAAAGACCGCTGTCTTGGTTTTGCTTGGCCCACTTTTTGGAAGTGGSGGGCCACAAAGATGGCTCCTGTGAGAAACTTCTGGAGGCTTCCACCATGTCCAGCAGAGCCAATTGCTGTTGGCTCTGAGGTTGATGGACATGCCACTGACCAAACCTGGGCCAATTGGAGATGGTGGTTACACCTCTGTGAAAACATATTTAAGAAGAAATCAAAACAAAGGGAGCTCACAGTAGTTTTGCCAGTGGAGGAGGCTGAGAAATATGTGAGGGAATGTAGGCACCAAGGTGAGTGCAGGAGGGGGAGGAGCTGCTCCAGGCGCCGGAGCTGGGATTCCTTTGCAGCCCATGGTGACCATGGTGGAGCAGGCTGTCCCCTGCAGCCCATGGTGACCATGGTGGAGCAGGCTGTCCCCTGCAGTCCATGATGGAGCAGGCTGTCCCCCTGCAGCCCATGGGGTCCACAGAGGGTGCCGAGATCCACCCACAGCCCGTGGAGGAGGGAGGTCCCCACGCTGTAGCGGGCGGACGCCGAGAAGTGGCTGTGTCCAGCAGGAGACCCATGGAGAGAGAGGCTTTGCCTTCTGTGACCCTTGGCAGTGTGGCTGGAGCACTTGCCAGTGAAGACAGAGGCAAAAAAAGTAATTAAGTACATCATCAGCCTTCTCCATTTCCCCAGTTAGCAGRTTTGCCCTTTCCTTCTGGAGTGGGCCCACATTTTCTCTAGTCTTAGTTTTATCACAGATGTACTTAGAGAACCTTCTCATGTTACCCTTCACATCCATGGCCAGATTTAATTCTGTCAGGGCTCTAGTTTTCCTAACCTGATCCCTTGGTGCTCGGACAATTTCTCTATATTCCTACCAGGCTACATGCCCTTGCTTCCACCCTCTGTAGTTTCCTTTTGTGTTTGAGTTTGTCCAGGGGCATCTTGTTCATCCCTGAACACAAGGCCTCCTGGTGTTTTTCCCTGACTTTGTCAAGGATGCACCACTTCTGAGCTTCAAGATCCTTCAAGAAARGAGAACCAACAGCTGCAGTAACTTTCTCTGCAGGAGCAGCAGAGCTCTTGAGAGCAAGGAGACTGCCAGATTTAGAAAACATTCAGAATTCTTCAAACTTCCTACAGAAAGGTCTAAGGAAGGTCTAAGATCTGTGCCCCTCTGAAGCTGCCTGAACAGATAATTCCTCTAAGTTGCTCCTAAGTTCAGACAGATTCACTCCTTTATTTGTTCTTTATTGAATAAAATAGACTGAGATACTCATTCATGAAAAAGACCTTTTCTTTCCAAAGAATGTTCCCAAATCCTTTAATCATCCTCACGGAACTTTACAGATTCTTTCCAATGTGGAATAGTTGTCTTTAATTCTGGACACTGTTAACTAAAAGCAGCTGCAGCAGCTGCAAAACACTGAGTTACTTAAGTCATTCTGTTCCTACACAAAGGTTCATCCATCTATAAATCCTTTACACCTCATTATTTACCATTCCCTTTGTGTCACCAAGGTATCTTCATGAAAAAGGATTTTCTGGTTTCTTTTAGGTGACTGACCAGAGTACATGGAATCAGCAAGGTATATTCATGCCTTGACTGAAATCCATTTATTCAGTGCTGATGTTTAGGAATCTGCTAGCCAGTCTTTAACTACTTAATGTGTATCTTGTTCGTGCTCTAACTTGTCCAGCATTTATACATTCTTAGGATGGCARGCTACAGGAGCTACAGCGTTTCAATCAAAACACCTTCACCAGTGAAATCTCTACTTCTATTTTTTTGTGTTAGTTTGTCATGATCTATTTTCTGTAAACTCACAGGCCTTTCTAACACACTTCTCACATTTGATTCTTAAAAAACTGAATTATTCCATTATTTTTTCACTTCACTGATATCCTGGTTATTCTTTTCATAACTTGGTGAGGGAACTGTTTCCTGTAGCCTTCTAGAGCCCATCAAGATTAGTGAGAAATCAGCATCATTGGTTTAAAGTTCTATCTGTTCCCTGATTTTGTACTTTTATTAATATGTGAATTACTCACAATACTGAATTCCAATACCTAAAGAGCTATATTTAACAGTCATCCAAATTATTATTTGAATAGGAGTTTCAGAATTTATGTGAGGAAGAAGAATATGTATCATTATACTCCAAAGGCARAACACTTTTTTCTGCTTGTTATGACAACTCCATCACTTCTAATAATCAGCAGGAGGTAGAAACAGCAACAAGGAAGAAAAAGGGAAAGGGAAATGGCTTTGTCTAAGGCAATCATTTATTCTATGTGAATACAAAGAATTCTACATTATATAATACTCTACAGAATATTCTATATTAATTTCATGAATTCTAGAAAAAAACATGAAACAAAAACTGACTGGCAAAACTACAGCAAAATCTACAACTGCTAATCAGAAAAGTACCTGCTGGGCTGCAGTATTTTACCTTCTGGATCTCTCTCAGGCAGCAGAACTCTGTTTACAGAAGATGGACAAATCTATYGATTTTTCCTGAACTTTGCACTTGACATTTGCACCTGAACTTTCCCATGTGCAAATTGGAAAACTTAAGTGTTTTTCATCAGAGGTGATCTGGCAGCTCTGAGTGAAAAGCTCTGCTCACATACTGCTTGTGGAAGGGTCAGCAAACTTGTTCTCTARGTAATTATCTACAGACATTCCTGTTTAATCTCACAGCAGAGCTTGCTCTCAGGGTTTGTTTCTCTTCCTCTGCAAATCTCTCAACCTCAGAGCAAAAGAGGTTCTCCTACACCACACTCCCACTGAAGCTCAGGAGTTCTGACCTTAACAAAGATTGTGCCTCTTCCCATACCTTAGGAGATACCAAATGCAAGGTTGTTACTGCAGAAACACCACAGTYTCCACATGCAATCTAAACAAAGCTTTAAAATCTTGCTGATTAGCAACTTGGACCAGAACAGTGTAAGCAGGGCAAAATAAAGTCACAGCAAAATACAGAACATGCTTTAAAATTCAGAGTACTGACTGTACCTTACAGATTTTGTACAGAGATTCCTGACCGTCTCCTTCTGTGTCCTTGAAATAATCATGTGCTGGATATGTACGATGGATATCTCGTTTAATGACACTCTCTTGAGCAGAATCCTGTAGAAGAAAAGAAAAAGACAAATCCCAACATCTTAACCCAGTAACAGTAAACTKAAACATAACATAATAGCAAATTCAATGTTTATTCAACATGGATACATTAGATACTTGCTTTACTGACTTCCCCAAAAATGCTCTGAGAAGCTGAAAATCCTTTGTAGTCTCTTATGCAGTTATTGTTTGACAGTTTAATAAGAGCAGCCTGGTAGGTTTTCTTTCCTCCAGGCTTAAGGTTCAACCTTAGAACTCTGAGGAAATTACTAGTAATTCAATTGTTGGTGCATCATTTTTACCATAGATCATATACTTACTGTGTGGATCT